TAGCGAGGTCATGTGGCAGATTTTATTTACGCCAGATGCCATTCCTGTCACAGCCGGCTTTATTACCGGAGTGGAGTGGGCAATCTGGGACAGACGGCTTTGGATGACATTTGAAGCATTAAGACAGGGGTGTCCAAACTTTTTTCATCAAGGGCCACATATCTAAATACAGATGAAGCAGAGGGCCGATCGAGGGCCATAGACTGGTGCTCAGTACAGTGAATAATTGAAATATGTGCATGTTTAAAACGAATAGCATGAATAAACACTGATGGCTCATGCTAAGATCCTTAAAACCACAAACTAAATATTACATATTCGCTTTATCAAGGTAGATTTCCCAAATACTTGCAGTAAGAAGTACATTTTTAAATGATGTAAGGTAATTTGGGCCAATTCACCTGGAAGCCTGAGGGCCAAGAAAAATTTGTCTGAGGGCCGCAATTGGCCCACGGGCCATAGTTTGGACATGCCTGCCTTAAGACAATAACAGTTACAAGTGTCATTTACAGTATTGTTTCTCAGCATTTATATAAGACAGTTAATCATGATTACAGATCTATAGAAGTAGAACAACTCCTTTAACCTCTTAACGCCTCATTTTATATAGATGTATATAAAAAAATGTTTTGTGTGTGTTTTTGCCTTTAAGTAGGTGGAAAATTTAACTGAGATTTTTAAACTGACTATTAAAAAATAAATAAAGAGAAATTTGGGGTGTGTTGCAAATTTGCGACAAATAGAAACAAGTGCTTGCCAAAGGTTCCAAGGAAAGTCCTGCATATGCACTAACATTGGAGGAATGCAGCCGTTATCTCAGCTTATATCTTGATCCAAGCGGTTTGTCGCATATTTGTGACACTAGGCATTAAGGGGCTATCTAAGGAATACACACAAGTATTGCAATACTATAGTGTGAACTCAATTACTTTGCGTGTTCATTTCTCAATTGTATTACTCCCTCACCTCCAAAAAAAAAAAAAATCCTGACCGCTATGGTATGGAGTGAAGGAATAATGCTGAATAATGCTCTGTAAATTGTCTTTGTGACATATGTCTGTGAAAAGCGCTATATAAATAAAGACTTACTTACTCTAACCCTGATTTTAAAAAAATAATAATAATAATTCCACAAAAATAACTCTACAGTATCATAAATAAATCACTACAGCATTCAGCAAAATAAATGGAAACTATTTACAATAATTAAACATATGACTGATTGATATTTCATGTTAGTAACTATCAGAGGTTGGGACTTGCAAGTCGTGACTTGGACTCGAGTCAGACTTGAGTCACTATTTTTAGGACTTGAGAAGACTTGATGCTTCTCCTAAAAAAAAGTTTTTTGGAAATACTTTTTCTCTTTTCAGTTGATGCATGTGGTGCTTCATTTTACAGGAACAAATTGGAACATGTCCCTCTCACTTCTCTATTTGTTACTTTGGATGTAACTGAAGTACTGTGATGTCCTCAAATGTACTACAGTAATGTACAGTACATTACAGTAAAACAGAGGGAACTATTGTACACCAAACAAGATGCTTCCATTTCAGTGCAGACTACAGGACAAAATAACTGCACTTTTAAATCTGAATACTTTCTATTCTGACTCTCTTATATAAACTCTTATATAAATACTCATATATAAATATACCATGACTTTAAGTACAATTTAGTTTATAAGGCATATAAATTCATAAAACCAAAGTTATATTTTGGTTTAAAGACTTGAAATGACTTGAAACTCAAAGCAGATGACTTGGACTTGACTTGGACTTATGGGCCAGTGACTCGAGACTGGACTTGGATGTTCCTGTCTTTGACTTGGAGTTTGACTCGGATTTGAGGTCAACGACTTGAGACTTATTTGAGACCTGCAAATCAACGACTAGGTCCCACCTCTGGTAACCACAGCACAAATTATACACAGTCTTAAAAAGAGTGTATTTCATTCTATGAGGTAGCACACAGAATACTGATACTTTGAAGTGACATCACATTGGGGGTGTTTTACATGAATGTCTGTGGTGGTGTCTATGGTGTTTTAAGATACAAACTGGATTTAAACAACACATGTTCAGGAGCCTGTGATCGATAACAGCGTTCATGGTTCTGTTTAGGAGTTTGATTTTCAACAAAAAAGGTGAGTGACTAACTGATTTAACTTATATATGTGAGACTTAAAGGGTCCATCTCATGCAAAATCAACTTTTCAGAGCTTTCTTCTAAGAGTGATGTGTGGGCCTTGTATATGTCGCTGAAGTGGTTTTTAGATTGATTTTGTTTTGTTTTTTGTTTTTTTACAAATTACAGTGTATTTCTGCCACCCTCCCACGTGACAACGAACTAAAGCTGCTGCAACGATGACGCGGCAGATACACCTATGACGCGTTTGACGTAGCAGAAACCGCTTCACGCCCGCCCCTCTTCCCCACTCCACCGCCTCCGCCCCACCTCCAACCCACATCGGCTGACAATTCCCACATGAACACCTAAACAAAAGTGACAGCATAAGCTCATTGTTCTACACTGCGGTGTACACGATATAATAAGTTTATCTACTAGTGTTTATTAATACTTTACCAATCAGTAATGTTCAGCTGATGTTGACGCTGTGCTTGAGCTTCGTGCTCCTCAAAGTCCTCGCTGAATGCGCTGTATCTCCATGATGAATAAAAGTTTGTTCCTACCACTATCAGGGTGCACGTCTGTCTCCCCCTCCCTCCCTGAGATGGGCGGAGGAAGGGCGGCTCACTCAGAGCCTACGTCACGTTTGGAGGGCGGAGCCTGTGCTTTCTCATAGCCGGCTTTTCATAGTTCCTGGTCTGTGACTACCTCCAAGAAATTAGTAAGATTTCATAACTATTGTGTAATGGATGTTCCAAAACCCAAATTGTGCTTGTTTATGTGCAGAAGATACAATGTGAAAAGAGTTATTTTGCATGAGATTGGCCCTTTAAAATACGATATTAAAAATAAGCATTAAAATAAAGATCGGATTAAAGTCTTACAAAGCTTCTGACAAAGTATCTTATTTATATTTTGGGAAATTGGGGTGTGGGAGCATAGATGTCTGTAGGCTGAACATTGGACAGAATCTTACAGCTAACCATAAGGAGGCTTTGAATAGGGCCCAGGAGAGATCGCTAGATGACTCAAAAATGCATGGACGACATGTAAACATCTTAAAGCATATCTTTTGATGAGGGAACAGCATTATAACATGGTATAAAGCTTCCAAAGTCAATTTTAGATAATAAACCTTTTTTAAAACAGTGTAATTGTGTGTTCCCAGTGGTGGTACCTGCAGCGTACAGCTCCCTCAGCTTCTCCTCATCCTCGTAACCCAGAGACTGCCTGTCTTCATCGGCCTCGGACCGGTTGGCGTCCCCCTACAACACAAACACAGAACCATGTGGCAAATACCTTAACAATTGGCGCAACCGTCACGTTTCGCTCTGCTCTGCTGTCGTTGAGTCGTACAAAAGAATTAGTGGGGAGTGAAAGAATGACTGATAAAGTTTAGTGCCAGACGGGCCTGGAGGGGGGGTAGGGGTCTCCTGAGTTCTCTAGTTGAGTTATGATCGTGGCATTGGCAGCGATCTCCCCAGTTCAGGCCAATAAAGCTTTACTGAATTTAATTAAAATTCACGCCAGAAAAATGACGGCAGACGGATTTGGCAGAGTGTCTGTATGTATGTGTGTACAGGGGGAGGGAGGGGATGACAGCGAGTGTTCTCTGATGCCGCAGATAAAAGATGAAAACTAAACAACAAAAGCTCCCCAGCTGTGAATGGCAGGCCGTATCAAACACATCCCCACCCAGGAGAGGAGCGTGTGAGTGAAAGAATGAGAGATAGGGAGCGAGGGAGAGAAGGGAGGAAGAGATAGAGTATAATGGAGGGGAAAGAGCACTGGAAGCCTCCCAACAGCGAGACGGTGGTTGGTTCTGTATTGCGCGTTCGGAACAGTTGATGAAGTTTTGCTGGAGCGCTGTGGTCAGGGCGGGTAGGGTGACACATTTCAAATAAAGTGAAGCGCTGTGGCACTTCGTAAAGCCTGTGCTTTAGTCCCAGCACAAGTCCAAATGTGCAGACACGCAGCACACTGTGGTGATTGGAGCAGAGGGAGGTGAGCAGAAACGAGACACAGAAACACAGAAAACACTTCAGCAGTAAAGAAAAGAGCTCTGGGATCAAAGCAAACAAAGGAACTGTCTGACACTTTAAGCACAAGTTGCTTTTCAATCATTTATCTGACAACAATTATCAGTGTTTATGGCTGTACCTTTAGTGCAGTGTGTAACTTTCCACAGAAACAGAAAGTTAAAACCTTACTTCAGAACATTCTCCATTGTGATAGATACGTTTAATGCCATACTGTCAAATATTATAGCCAAAGAAACAACATTTCCCCAGAAAGAAGCATGAGAATATCCTCCTCCAGGCCGCATAACTGAGGAGATGCAAGTGAATAAAAAGCTTTTATTTCAGTCTAATTATGGCAAAAAAGTTACACACTGTAAAAATGTACAGAACGTTAAGGACACAAGGAGTGAACAGTCAGATTTGGCACATTTTATACTTTCTCGTATGTTTAAAAACTACATTAACAACATCTTTTCTCATCCTTATTTATTCATGAACAAACGTTACAATTACTAAGTTCCAAAAAAACTGTCCACATATTTCGGTTCTGATCAGTAATGTCAATGATTCTCCAATGCGAGAGATGAGTTCTGGAGGAGCCAGAGCACTCATGGATGTTAGTGATTTGAGTTTTTTTTGTTTTGTTTTTTTTCCAAATGTGCATAACAGCACTACAAAAGTACACAAACTGTACTAAATACTGAATATATTTACAGTAAATTTTGTTTTTATAGTCAATAACATCATTGGATATTGTGATAAGAGCTGCTTCAAAATATTGCAGAGAAAGTCCCTCCTCTACATAGATAATTCCAGAGGGAGCCATTCCAGATTGATATTAGAGTGCTAACGTGATTAGCTCTGTAATATCAATCTGGCTTTTGCCAGGTTGGAGGATGTGTCCCAGGAGAGGGAGATGTGGGGATCTCTGCTTGTTCAGAGTAAGTGATGGAAAGAGGAGAGAGGGTAATGATACAAAGTCTTTCACTTTATCTGCAAATACAACTAATATCCCCACTCAAATCACAAAGCTGCTCACTGCCTCACACGTATTAAAGTGTCTCACAGAAAAGATCATTTCAAAGGACATCTTCAATAGCCAAAACAAACAACGCTGTGTCCTTACCTCTGCTTGGAATCCTTCAACCAAAATGGCCACGAGCAGATTGAAGAGGACGTAGTTGCCAAATGTCATGAGAGCTACAAAGTAGAGAGCAGCCAGAGGAGTGGTGGAGGCCATGCCATTATAAAGCACCGCGTTCCAATCTTCTTGTGTTAGGATCTGCAGAGACAGGTGAACAGGCAGCATGTCACTCATATAATACACTGTAATAGGTGCTGCACTTAGAACTAACCTATTTTCTATGTAGCTGTTGTCAGCACAATGCCAATTTCAGTTTCTTTGCTTGAATGGGCTAAAGTATAATGACGCTCATCAGTGGTAAATAAGGCCTTGAGGTTGTTTTGTTACACCACTCTCAGCTCAGTCATAAACCCTGCTTACCTTCTCACCAGAGGGCTTTTGTGTTTGCCAGAGAAATTGAGAGCGAGTGTTCCCAAATTGGTACAAATGAATTAATTCGTACAATCGCCTGGGCCACTACTGGTGACAGGACCAGCTGCTACGTGTTTCCCATTGCAATTCATTTCAGAGTGTAATTTAGCAGTCATGTATCAACAGGAAGATGTCCAGATGAAGTAAAGCTGATGCAGTGGGAGTGGGGACGGACCTGGAACACAGTGACGGTGGCCCAGAGCAAGGAGTCGAAGTTCTTTCTGTCCGGTAATGTGTCACCGGTCTCCTGACGCAAACCGAATTTACAGCCGAACAGATGCATGCCCAAGATGCTGGAAGAAAAACAGCAAAGGGGAAATAAGCAGGTTTTAATACACGGTGATGACAAATCTCTAAATAAACAACTATCTTTGATAAATCCAACCAAATGTTAATTACTTTATTTACTAGTCTAACAGTGCGCAGACAGGTTTCTCTAATTTAGACTTCATTTGGTGGGATAATACCTGCTGTAAATATAAATGAATAGTTTCACACCAATCAAGAAGTAATTTGTTGAAGAAACATTCGTTGAAAATTGAAAGGTAGTAGAGAGTTTTAAAACATATACATCACGCTAGGGAGAATTCGATCCAGTTAGGCACAATTTAAATGTACATGTTTCTGATACTTTAAAGGTTGTATGGAGGATTTTTTTTGTTTCAAATTGTCAATGATAGCATTATAGAGGTGCAGTAGCCTTGTAATTATGATGACCAAAAAAAAGAGAATAAAAATTCATCAACTCTGGATGTGGTGGGGCTAAACATTTGCCAATAGATAACGACACTTCCTCGTTATCTGTTAGCTTATATTCTGTCAATCAAACTCCCTACGGTTCTAGCGTAACTGACTTGCCTGCGCGCGCGCCGGTACGTGGTTTACGTACGCCTGTCACGCAGTCCACAGACGCAAGACGCACAGACGCTGTTTACTCCACCAACGCAACAGTTCTTAGCGTCTTTTTTTTTTACCTATATCTTCCTCGCAGTTCGCACAAAGTTTGTTGCAATGGCGACAAGAATCCAGGAGCAGTTAGCCGCAAAAGAAAGTCCGTTTTTGAGGTCGCTGAAAGAAGAAGACAAGGGGAAAAGCAGCGAAGCCAAACTAAAGTGATTCTTGGAGATTCATTCCAGCGATGGCGCGACTGAAGCAGACGCAGGGTCTAAAGACTGACGCACTGGTCCACAAATTACTCCTGGACAGGTCACTTCTGCTTATTATGAAAACGTACTTTATTTCCAAGAGCTAGACAAACATTTTTCAGGACACGAATGCGATATCCTATGTCTGAAAACGTAATTTTCAAGGCAAAGAAAGAGTCCGCTTGCTGCTGCGTGTTGTAGCTAGTTCATTCGCACTGAATCTCCGCGCACTCCTTCTCTGCTCCCCTTTCCTGCTTCTCTCCCCGCTGCCCGTTCCGCTCTTCCCCCTGCCCCTCACTTCTCCGGGCACGGAATCTCCGCGCACCGCTCCCCTCTCCTCGCTCCCCGCTCCGCTCTTCTCCTGCTCCTCACTTCTTGTCTGCGCACGAAATGTCCGCGCCCCCTCCCCCCTCTCCTCACTTCTCCGCCTTGCCTAACCAACACTGTAGTTAGTTGTTTACAAGTCATGTGCAGCTCACCGGCTGTAAACAAACCTGTTTCTGGCGTAAGGAGGGGGAGGGAGGAGGCGTTTCTACGTAGGAGCTGTGGGGAGGGGGGTGGTTTCACGCATGCGCAACATTTGAAAAAGGACAAACAGTCGCTGGATTTCTCGTTCCTTGGAAAATCCTCTATACAACCTTTAAACAAAATAAAGGTGGTTTTATATATTTGCCCAGTAATCATTTCTGTGACTTTTGAGGAGTTTTGGCCTAGTGTACAGCATGGTTTCTAGGTAACAGTTACGGAGTTCCCTACAGTGTAATGTCATAATTTCTAAGGAGAAAAAAATGCCCAAACTGGAAAAAAAGTGTTAAATTTTTAGCCAAATTTTAAATATAATGATCTTGATTATGTTTTAAATAAAATGGTCATAGGCACTTTGAGATGTGCATCAAAAACTGTATTTTCATGTGTCATGTATTGTAATTTCTGGACTATTGAGCGCACCTGAATGGAAGCCACGTCAACTAAATTTTAAAAGAAATAAAAATGTGTACATATATAGACTGCACCTGTCTATAAGCTGCAGGTGTCCACGCTGTAACTTGAGATATTTACACAGAAAGATGGTACACAGAAAGATTTTTATTTTTATTTTTAATTAAATACCAGTGCATGATTTTTCCGAACAGTGACGAACGTGCCTCTGTCCTATCTGAATCATGTCAGCGTGTTGTACGCTTTCACCAGATTTCAGCTCTCCCGGGGGATGGGGCTAGTTGTATCGATCAGGTATGAGAGTATGTCCGGCTAGTGTTGCAACTTTATGTTAACCCCACAGACAGCGGCGCTTTCTGCACTCAGGCTGTGCGCATCCACAGTGCTGAACAAATAACCCATCTATATGTTAGGCACAGGGTTCAAAGTGTGAGAAAAGGAGCGGCTTATAGTCTTGAAATTACGGTAAATTATGGTAAAATCTGAGTAATTTGATTTTTCTAGTTGTACCTGTGCATGTGTTAAGTGCTTTGACCAAACTCTAAATATTCTAATAACTGGACAAATGCTTGTACATCAGGTGTTTTGCAATATCAGATTTCATAGGTGCATGCACACACACGCCAATTATCTAATTATTTGGTTATCTAATTAGGTCTTATTAGGCTCCTTTTTTGTTTAGCTAAGATCAAAACACAGCTAGATTAGGAGAGTAAATAAAGAAAATTAATATAATTTAACCAAAACAATCTCATGTATCAGATGGAGACCCTTGCCCCTCTCATGTACACAGTATATTTGCAGACCTGAATATGAATATGAAGAGCATGAGCAGCATGCAGAAGGTGGCCACGTTGTCCATGGTCTTCATGAGGACCACCAGCTGCCTCCGGAGCGCGGGCAGGAACCGGACCAGCTTCAGCACCCTGAGGAGCCTGAAGGTTCTGAGCACGGACAGGCCTCCCTCCGCCTCTCCCACGATCTCCCACACGCTGCAAACACAACAACAAGCACATTACACACGCCTACGCAAATGTCGTTCAATCAATATTCGCTTAACCTTCACCACAAATGTGCACCAATTCTCCAAAGAACGCCTCTGGGCTGGATAAGAGCTGAGATCCTCTGACATGTGGCAACCAGAAAGACGAAATGGGCCATTGCTACAACAGTGCGACCAATAAATGTAGTATGAGAGCACAATAAACAAGCACAGCCTTCAAGCACAGATGCATAATTTAGCTTCAAGTACTACATAATGGAGTAATACAGACCCTGTAGACTCAGTGTACCCATTTGGCTGTGAAAAGCAGTCCCACACACCACACATATGACATGTAGAGCCAATCCAGGCCATGGGCATGTTTATTCATTTCGAAATCATGAGGTCTAGAAACGATGTATTGGCATGTTGTGTAAAACTAAGGTAGCTCAGTGTGCGTGGGATTTACTGAGTGTAATATCAACATGCACATTATTTGCCGACAGCTTGAGCGAGGGTATTTATTGTGGTCCTCCCAGTGCCAGCCGCTAATGATTTCACATAAAACAACAGTGGCTTTAAAAGAATTAAACAGAGCAACAATGACAACAACATGCCACAGTGGAGGTTTAATTTACTCAGAGAGCTGACAGAGAGACGGACCGAGCGCCGCACAAACCCCAGCGTTAAGTGTCTGTGTGCGATAATGTGCTCAACTTGAAACAGCGCCTACAATCTTCTTTTAAAGCTTCTACAATATGAGACAACGTGACACATCCAAATGATTCTAATGAGGTGTATGACATGTAATCATAATCCAGAAGTGCTCCTCCTAGTCTACTTACATTTGAACTACACTGCAAATTTCTCTGATCTGGCCAAGATTTTAAAACGTATATCAGGTTATTCATCTTATTTTCAGGCGAGGAGAAAATTCAGTTTGTCGACTGGACAAAAGTTAGTTTGGTTGAAGACGTTTCACAGATCATCAAAGCTGCTTCTTCAGTTCTGGTCAGATGCTGGTGGACACTTCCTTATATTTGTCTGCAGGGAGGAGCTAACTAACTACTCTGAAACTACCACATCTACTTGTTTACAGTTTTTGTTTGTTAGTTAGGCCTATTGACCTGTACAATGTGTGGGGTTTAATTAGCAGAACAATTCAGGGCCATAAGGAGCTTCCACACCTCTGGACCTGACCTGGCTGCACCTGTTGTTCTCTTGTTTTGATGTAGGTTTGAGGATGGAGTTGTAAATAGGAGATAGATGGTGTCTGAGGCCTCCATTTCTGTTTAGAGAAGGATTCTCTTTTTTAACAAAAGACTGCAGTGAACACTACATTGGAGAAACTAAACAGCTACTTCACAAGAGGATGTGCCAACACAGACGAGAGAGCAGCAGTGGACCTCAGTCTGCTGTACATCTCCACTTAAAATCCACGGGCCACTCATTTGAGGACAGTGAGGTACAGATTTTAGCCAGAGAAAAGAATTGGTTTGAGAGGGGAGTGAAAGAAGCCATTTTTGTTAAGAAAGAGAATCCTTCTCTTAACAGAAGTGGAGGCCTCAGACACCATCTATCTCCTATTTACAACTCCATCCTCAAACCTACATCAAAACAAGAGAACAACAGGTGCAGCCAGGTCAGGTCCAGAGGTGTGGAAGCTCCTTATGGCCCTGAATTGTTCTGCTAATTAAACCCCACACATTGTACAGGTCAATAGGCCTAACTAACAAACAAAAACTGTAAACAAGTAGATGTGGTAGTTTCAGAGTAGTTAGTTAGCTCCTCCCTGCAGACAGATATAAGGAAGTGTCCACCAGCGTCTGACCAGAACTGAAGAAGCAGCTTGGATGAGCTGCGAAACATCTTCAGCCAAACTAACTTTTGTCCAGTCGACAAACTGAATTTTTTCCTCGCCATGGATTCTACCTGGACGACTGAGGGATGCTTCACACAACTTATTTTCAGATTTATGATCTACTTACTAGCTCTGAGACTGATTAGTTCTAGCCTAAAGGTGGTTTATTTTAAGATAACAAGTAAAAAATGTCAAGTAAAAAAAATCTTGCTGCATGGACAGATAATTTCATTAATAATAATTTTCTTTTTTTCAAATTAGCTTTTTATTGAAAAAGCAGATTACACCTTGCAATGTGTAAAATCCTGCTTTTACATTTAAAAAAAAACAACATTTAAAAAAAAAAAAACATATTCAAACTCAGAACAGGTTGGGGAGCCTGGGAACCTCTTTCACAAATTAACAGAACATTGCAAATATGAAGTAGTTTTATATGAAGTCTGATCTCACCGGCTCTTGTAAAAAAAAACTTTCACTACTTTTAAGTCATTTTCTGAGTGTTTATATCTTAAATTTTGGCCAAGCTTTTTGGCTAAGCAGTGTAGGGAGGGGATATTGGTTCCAGTATCAGTATATGATTCTTCAGTATTGGTTAGTAGGGCTTAAGAAGTTGCCGATACGATAGATACCTTGATACATAGACCATGATGTGCTTTTTCGATACACTGCACTTTCAATTCAGTACGATATATTTCAAATCGATTCAATACGGTTCGGTGAAAAACAAAGTCTAAATCAAGGCTCTGATTCTAAAAGCCTACTAAGTTTGTGCAAAGTTAATATGAAAAACACACATTTTCTCATCAAAACAGTGAAAATGTCAACACAATAGTAGCTCTTACACAAAATAAAAATAAAATACACCTAAAAATTTTTGAAACACCAGCCCACGAAATTGATACTGTATCATCAAATTAAACAATACGATATATATTTCAAGTTTTTTTCACACACCACCATTCGGTCAGTATTAGTGTTATTTGTGGCTATTATTTTTACAGAAGTGAAAAGTTAATCTTCATCTCTATTTTGATTTGAGGGCCTTGCAATGGATTTGAAATGGTAAACGGTCACATTTTTATACAGCGCTTTTCCACCTTCAAGCCACTCAAAGAGCTTTACATTGAGGAACCACTCACCCATTCACACACACACACACACACGCAGTGAAGAAGTGATTTGTTGAAATTAGAGATTTGAGGCCTAGGTTTTTTGAGTCGATATCCTGTCTGCTACTTTAGCTGATAACTGATATTTGCCTTTACCGATATTTAGCTGTTAAAATCTCGTCCTGGACATAAACATCATTGGTTGGCTGTGTAATTCTATTTAACACAGAGTTAACACAGATGAATGCTGTTGTTGTGTCCTTGGGGAAGACACTTACTCACCTTGTCCCCAGTGTCTGTGTACTGTGGTGCATGAAAAGCTCCTGGCTTGAACATGGAAAAAGCACTGTATGAAAATTGGACCTTTAACCATTTCAAATCTATTGCAAGGATCTCAGATTTATTGTGAAGATGAAGAAAAACTTTTCCCTTTTAAAATGCCTTTAAAATTCGCTTCAAGATTGTAGTAAAAAGGAAAACAAGCACAATTTGGGTTTTGGAGCATCCATTACACAATAGTTATGAAATCTTACTGATTTGTTGGAGGCAGTCACAGACCACGAACTATGAAAGACCTGCTATTTTGCTCATCCCCCCGCCCGTCCTGAGAAAGCACAGGCTCTGAGTGAGCCGCCCTTCCTCCGCCCATCTCAGGGAGGGAGGGGGAGACAGGCTTGTGCCCTGATAGTGGTAGAAATAAACTTTTATTCATCATGGATACAGTGCGTTCAGCCGCATGTGTTGGACCTGGAATCGGACGAGCACTTTGAGGTGCACGAAGCTCAAGCACCACGTCCACATCAGCTGAACATTACTGATTAGTAAAGTGTTAATAAACACTAGTAGATAAACATATATCGAGTACACTGCAGTGTAGAACAATGAGCTTTTGCCAGGCATGTCCAAACTATGGCCCATGGGCCAAATGCGGCCCTCAGACAAATTTTTCTTGGCCCCCAGGCTTCCAGATGAATGGGCCCAAATGACTTTGCATCAATTAAATATTAACTTTTTACTTCAAGTTTTTTGAAAATCTACTTTGATAAAACTAATATTTAATATTTAGTGTGTGGTTTTAAGGATCTTAGCATGAATAAAGACTGATGGCTCATTCTAACATGTTAAACATACACATATTTCACTTATTCACTGTTTTGAGCATCAGTGTACGGCCCTCGATCAGTCCTCTTCTTCATCTGTGTTTAGATATGTGGCCTTTGATGAAAAAAGTTTGGACACCCCTGGCTTATGCTGTCGCTTTTGTTTAGGTGTTCATGTGGGAATTGTCAGCCGATGCGAGGTGGAGGCGGGGCGGAGGCGGTGGAGCGGGGGAGGGGGGCGGTTGTGAAGTGTTTTCTGCTACGTCAAATGTGTCACAGGTGTAGCTGCCACGTCATCGTTGTAGCAGCTTTAGTTGTCACATGGGAGGGTGGCAGAAATACACCGCAGTTTGAGTCTGAATCAGTCTAAAAATCACTTTGGCCACATATACAAGGCCCACACATCAGGTAGAAAGTTCTGAAAAGTTGATTTTGCATGAGATGGGCCCTTTAATTTGTGTGTGTGTTGGGGGGAAGGGGTGGAGAGTTTTGTTGTTTTATTTTTGTTGTATGTTTTTGTGTCTTGTTTTATGTTTTCTTATTGTATTTTTTAAAATGTTATATTTTATTGTCTTTAATTTAAAAAAAAAAATCACTTTTGTAAAAATAAAAGCCACAAATAACACCGATACCAAGGTTAAATGTAAGTAGACTTGGCTCCTCTACTTCTGGATTATCATTAAATGTCAAACACCAGTTGGGAAGAATGTTCAGAAATCTCAAGAGGGAATCAAGCAAGAGTGAAAGAACAACAACACACAAACCCTCCACAGCAAAAACTGGAGGGTACAGACTTCAGGGTAAAATATTTCAGAGTTGTTTTTAACAACAAAAAAAAAGTGTTATTTTAACTATTTGAAAGTTACCGTTAAATCTGGACTATTGAGCACAGCTAAATAAAAGCCGCATAAACTAAATCTTAACAAAATTTTAACACTGT